ATATATATATATATATATATATAGTTTGATGTATGCTTTTGTTGAATTACATAAATGCAAAATAAGTCAAAATTTCATCTTTGGATCCCTTATTTAGACCTGTCAATGGAGTGAGTTTTGACTATGATTCGCTCCAAACCCATAAGAATTTTATGGGTTTGAATTTTAATTTTCGAATCGTTTACTTGTTTATAACCCATACACGTTTACCCTTTAATTAAATGGGTTGGGCATGTATCATTGTCGATTCGCTCCATTTATAACCCGCCCCATTTGACTATATATATATATATATATATATATATATATATATAACCAAAGTATGCAATTTATGTCTAACTAAATTGTTATTCTTATTGTATTGGATTCTAAGTATTAAGTAATTTATATATTATTTAAGTAGACGTTTTATCTTTTTTGATAAATATTACTTGTCGCACACATCAAATTTGTGAAATTGTAATATTGAAAAAAGGTCAGGCTAACGGGTCAGGTATTCGTTGATTCGATGGATACAGGTATAGATTCGATTATTTAAAACCCTGAGGGTTACTAGAGCAAGGTTGGTCGTGTTTTTAAATTTTTTAAAGGGTTCAAAGGTAATTTGCTCCAACCCCCCCCCCCCCCCCCCTCTCACACCCTTGTTTCTAAGAGGAAAGATCTCTTAAAATGTATGTTATTAGTTGTTTTTGTGCAAGAAAGGAACTAAATACTTAGATAGGAAATATTGTGTATGCTGTTGAGTGTATTGCAGTTTGTGTAATAGTTCATACTGAGGAATTAACATGCTTCTCGGTAAGAATATACTCACAAGAACCGTGAACATAAATATAATAATCACATCAAAAATACCCACATTATAAACAAAAGAATCTTTCATAAACTCGTAATCAAGTACAAAATGTATGATTGCATCTACTAAATTACATAATATTTTCATTAACATGAAAATTTACATAATAAAACATCATTAATAACATAAAATACAAGCCATGCATGTATGAAATTTTTTCATATACGCAATGCAAGCTTCTAGAACTTACTCTCATCTTGATCATATAATCACAAAGTGATGTTATTTACAAGATTTTCGTTTTCTATATACCCATGAATCGATCAAAACACAAAACTAAAACACAAACATCATCCCACACTTCTTGAAAACTTCTAGGTGGGAAGTGCATTGGTGTTTTTATCTGCATTAGCTCTCTAATGACTGCGTGGAACCCCTCGTTTCCATGTCACCAAACGTTGTAGAAAATGCATAACCTATAAACAAAGCAAAATAAATAATTATAATAAGTAAGTGAAAACAAATTTAACAATTACTTTTATGATTGATGTCCTCAGTAACATGCAATTATATGAACTTAATTACCTCAGATGGTTCTTGTAAAGAATAAGTAGCATCAGTTTCTTTAGGTATTTTAGACACCAAAATACCAAATCCTTGTCCTTGTTTACGCAATACCTTGAACGCATCTTCATCAGTACGATCATCTCCTATGTAGATAGGTAAGACATCTTTTGAGTTAGCATAACCTACAAGCAAATTAAGAAGAGTTAATAACTTAACATATATAAGGTTCTACTTTTTTTTTTTAAAATGATTGTTAACAATATGAATGCTTTTAAATACCTAATGATTCCAACAAGAACTCAAGGGCTTTGCCTTTGTCCCACTTGATAGTTGGTCGAATCTCTAGAACTTTTCGGCCTTGAGTCAACCGAAGCTTTGGGTAATCTTTAAGAACAAATTTAACTCGATCTGCTAAATCACTCCAGTTCTGTACACATTAAAAATATATATATTCAGCTTATTGCATAAAGTAAACATTTTTTGTTAATTAAAGTGTTTTGAGTCTGAATATACCTGTTCTTCAACACATCTAAAATGTACAGATAAACAGAACTTGTTGTTTTCCACATTGGCTCCTGGAATGTCCTTTGTTTTTTCTAATAGATGCTTGTAAACCTGAAAATAAAAACATTACAATTTTATTTTATAAGTAATAATCATTTTTATATAACTTCATTGCTTGAAAGATATATAATGACAATAATAACTACCTCAGCCATCATTGGTAAAAATTCCTTGGCTGGTTGGCATAGCACATTTTGATTACCCTAAAAAGACAATTAGCACAAAAAATTATAAACAAAATATAGCTCATTTAACACACATTTGATAAATGTTAAAATGTCAAATAAATCAAAAATATAAAAATATAGCTTTGTTCGTACTTTTTGATGCTTGCCAGACGATGGACCCTTGATGTCCATACCATGACTACCCGCGTAGTATAATTCTGATAGTCTTACAAAATTATAAACCTGAAATTCAATAAAATAAATTTATCTCATTAACTACATATGCTAGAAATACATCTTATAAATTTGCAGTCTTTTTAGTCGTGAATGTAACTCTTTTTTTTGTTTTTTTAAATATAAAAACATGAGACAAAAAGCAGAGACAAGAGCAAAAAACTTATCAATAATTTACTAATGATTTTAAGAAAAAAAAACATTTTATACTGTAGTAACAATTATAAAACAAGTGAAAATAAAATGTTGAATTTTTTTTGTTCTAGATAACTACAAATTTGACACCTATAATTAAGTCAACCAAATTAAATAGATGAATATACCTTGGCTCTGCACCTCCCGCTAACAATGGCTGTTGGAAAGTACTTTGCAACATTCTTCACTGCTTCTCTCATCTGTTGTCACCATTAGTTTCAGTTTAGAGACAGAAACACACACAAGATTCTTTATATATATATATATATATATAT